TAAAAAATATTTTAATTTTTTCATTATTTTTGTTAACATTGTTGTAGTTTTGGAATAGAGTATTTATTTCAAAAATTGATATATCTTTGTGTAATTTTTATCAAAATTTAAAAGGATATGAATATTTTACCTTATAATTAAATATATATAATTAATTATAATTTTTAAATTAATTTATAACTAAGGTATTACAATCAAATTAATGTATTGAGATAAAATCAGTGAGACCAATAGTATTTTTCAAATATTTATCAAAATCTCAATAGTTAGCTAAAAGAAATAAATCAGTCAAGAGGAAATCTTACCATGTTCTGATCATCATTCTTGAGAGATTTCAGCCTTAGCTTTTAGTGGGTTGTTGGCATAACTTTAAGGTCTTTGCCCAATTTCTCATATGAATTATTTTAAGATTTGAACTTACAATTTCGAGTCATGTTACTTGTTTCGCTATTTTTATTTTCTAAATACTTACATTTATGAATACCCACATGTAGTAATTGAATAAATTCATATATATATATATATATATTCATCGATAAATCAAGTAATTCATAAATGAGATATTACAATCGAATCACGTTGAGTAGGAAAAGAAATCTCGAAACAAATGGTATGTCTCAAATTTTTATCAAAGAATCTCCTCCCTTTTGACTACTTGACTTACCTAAAACAAAAAAAAGTCAGCAGTCTACCATTTTCTTCAGCTTTAGTCCTTTTGAAGTCTTTGCCCAATTTCTCATATGAATTAAGCTTAAAATTTTGAGTCAAGCTACTTGTCATACTATTTTTATCTTAAATATTTATAATCCCTAACATAAACATGTAATTATCGGATAAATTTAGATGTATGAACATATTAATTTTTTGATATATCATCCAATATATAAAAAAGATATTACAATCAAATCAACGTAATAAATTTATTTTAAAAAACAGAGAATTAAATTCGAATACCCGTTTTTAATGCAAAAAGAAAAATCCAAAGACTTTTTAAGGAAAAAGACATTATAGTTTGTCTTTTATAAACATAGATAGACAAAGAATTAGAGGAGTTTTAGGCCATAAGTTGTGTTTTAATATTGTTTTTTGGTTCTTTCTAAGCCGGTTGGTGCTTAGTAACCAAATAAGAAAACTCATGCCTCTGCTTCTTCTATGGGAGTCTGCATTTTCTAGATATGGACCTTGTTAGAGAGGCCCATTAGTGAATAATAAGGCCCAATAATTTTGGAGTGCCTTAGAAAGTTCAAAGGTAGGGAAAGAAATATATTGAATAATAGAATATTACAAAAAAAAATCAGAAAAATTTATAACTATATAACAAGAAAACAAAATGACAAAGACCGTGCATTGGGTTATATTTAATGAAATAAAATTTAAAATTAATTTATTTTTTAAAACCCCATTACGAAAAAAATCCCTAATTTACAACTCTTTAAAACAAATAAAAAATAAAATATCGAGACGATAATGCATATAAAATATCAATACACATTATGTCAGTACTTCTATTTCTATCTCTTCTTTATGAGTTTCGAATTATTAATCCTGACTATTAATACAATGCTGATGTCTACTTTTTTTTAAAAAAAAGGGTTAAATTAAATTATAGCAATATTTAATTTTCACAAATCATGCCCAATAATTTTTTTTTAATTTTCAAAGCAAAAGCTGACATGAAATATATATATATATATATATATTAAAAAAAAACCTAAGCTTGGAGTATGGCACAATGGTTTTGGCCCATACCATAGGCCATCATTTTCAATCCCTTACTTTCCAAAGTTGTCAACATGGTAGGTCCTTCTTGCTTCTTGTTTTTATGTTTGCCTGTTGATCACTCTATTATGCTTCTTCTCTACATGCATAATTCCCTAGCTCTTATTTTTTTTTTTTCTAATTCTGTGTTTGCCAGCACTTACTTTCCTTGTAACAGAAACATCCTCTCCAGCCCCATGCAGACTTTATCTTTTGTCCTTTGAAGCTTTTTCTAACACAATTTTCTTTACATTTTAAATGCATAATTGCCATAAAAAAAAGGTAGAATAATTAAATTAAATTAAGTTAATACAAGTTCTTAATTTTGCTCTTTGAAAGAAAAAAAAACAAAATTCATATGTCTCGAAACATACATTCTAACAAACGTTTGAATACATGTACTTATAAATTTATGTTCGAAATAACAATTAGGTTAAAATTTTAAAAAATATTTTACAATGTAAAATGCTTTATCGATTAATTAGATAAAATTGTATTGATCAACGTAAAAAGTCCTAGGCTCAAAAAGAGTATAAAATATTTTTTTTTTGTTCTATTTCAAACCCTCAAGACCTTTATCAGAAACGAAAAATGAAGTGTAAAAATTGTTGTACACAACCATCCAAAGGAGATTTCATTCGCCCACAGATTTTCCATTCAGCCATTAGTCTGTCTTTTTGTTTTTCCAGTGGGCCTCTTGTGTGATGGTCCAGTTTCCACATGTCTCATGGTTCGAACCCATTGGACAAGGGCGGTCTCCGTTTATAGTTTCTCTCCAAACCAAGGGTCTAAAAACCGACCTAACCATGGTGGACCCAAGTGGGAACATGTGGGGTCCTGGCCTGCACTTTCGTCTCTACCCTAATCAAAATAGGTTGGTGTGGACTGTATGTCACCATGTTTATTCTCAAACAAAAATGTACCAAAAGGGTATGCACTGGCAAGGGGACGAAATGTGAAGTTGTATAGTTTCAAAAGGTTATTTTTGAGCTAATTTAATTTAAACCTTATTATTTAATAAATTATTTGAACTCTATAAATAATTGATTAAATTTTTGAATTATTACGTAAATTCATACTCGAATATCTTGGACACTACTTATTAAATACCCGTACTTGTTAAATATTCATTTGAAAATATTTTTATGTATATTATTAATAAAAATTAAATTAATATATTAAAGTTTGTTCATAAAAAATAACTTAAAATTTAAAATTATATTTAAAACAATTAATAAATATTAATATGTATTACAATAATTATAAAGAATTAATAAATAAAAAATAAAAAAATAAAATTTAATATTAAAAATTATTATTTATAATCAAATTTAGATAATAGATATTTTAAAATCACTATCTGAATCCCTGACAGACCTAAATACATTTATAAGATACCTATTAACTTTCTTGTACAAAAATGAGATGAGATTACATGAAATATAGATTACACAAAGATCATTGACTTGAAACTTGAACAATTTTGGAATATGTAAGTACTAATTATTTCATCAATTATTGTTAAGAATTGTTGTCCACTTATTTTAGGAGAGAGACAGAGAGTAGGGGTGTACAAATAGTTATTTCGTTTAGTTCGGTTTTGAATATTTAATAATCGAATTAACCAAACTTATATTTAAAAATAACTGAAACTAAACTGAACTATATAAATAACCAAGCTAACTTAAATCGAACTAATTCGGTCAATTCGGTTCAGTTTTCAAAAACCTGGACTTGATAATTTTTTTATTTTTTTGTTTGTATATATTTATTTATATTATATTTTTTAAATAAATTAATACTATAAAAATATTAAAAATGATAATAAAAAATTATAATAAGTAAGGTGGATACTCATATAAATAAAGAGGAACTAAAGAAGAGAATATATTAGGTTTAGAATTTATTTTTCATGCAAAATTTCCCTAATATTTGTACTTAAGTTTGATTAATTCAGCTATTTTCTTAACCGAAACTGAACCAAATTAATTTTAATAATCGAATTATCCTAACTAAATTATCCAAAGAACCAAACGGAATCAAAAAAATCGAACTTATTTCAGTTCGATTGTTTAATTCAGTTCACATTGGCTCACCCCTAATAGAGAGAGTCATGGATTAATTCAAAACTCTTATCCACTAAAAAGAAAGTAAATGATTGGAGTATTTGTTAATCCTCATCCATCATGTTCATTAGATTCAATTAAAAGCTCTCCACCTTTTCCATTTATTTTAATGGATTTTTAAGTCCAAAAGTTTGAATTTCCAGCACCAAACCCATGTGCATATCTTACTTGTTTTGGTCAAATAGCACAGAAACAACACACAACAAAATAAAAGACAAAAATTTCAATGCAGGGCCGACAACGGCTGTCTTTCAATAGAGTACCTATAGATATTTGAGTTAATTATATAAAATACGAATTTAAAATAAATTTAAAATAAATTTGTATAGTAAATTTGTATTGATGCATTTAACTTTGATTAATTAACATGACATAAAAATACTTAAAAAATTAATTAAACTCAAAACTATTCATACTGCATTGCAACTAATCACCATCAGTGACTAAATTTAAAAATTTAATAAAGAGAAAAATATAAATTCCTCCATTCTAAAAGTAAATTGCATGGGCCATGAGAACAGCCAATGACAAGTACTAGTATTTACCCGAAAGGAAAAAGGGTTCAACCTCAACTGGCCCATCACTTGCATGCTTTAGAATATTCTAAAGCTGCTCGTAACTCATGAATGATAAGTCATAACCTCAGTATTAATACTGGTGCTTTTTTCACTTGTAAGATTCTTGAAAACAAAGAACAGAAATCAGTAAATTTTGCTTTGCATCTTTCCCAATCCTTATAAATTGTTGCTACATTTTGATAACAGCAAATTTATCTTTTCCTTTATCCCCAGTGTTGAAAAGATTGGAACTTTGCATAAACAAAAAAAAAACTTGGAACAAGCCCCATGTGCAGCCTTACCTGTTGGGGTGAATTGCCTGAGAGAACCAAAACCAAAAAAGGAAAATGAAAAGCAAATGCAAAGCATTCATTTGAATCTGATCAACAGACAAACAAACACACAAAAGCAAAAAAATACAAAAAGTACTAAAACAAAATAGAAATTTGCATGGCTTAATTGGTTTCATGTCTATTTTTACACCTCATGACAACCAGCCACAATCATTGGAGATTGTGAAAATTAATTGTTATTAAATGTCAACAACACTCTCTACTTTTTAGGATTCTTTGGGAAACTCAGGAGATATTTTGGGATCTGGATGTCATGAGTTTTGTTTCTTGTTGCTGTTAGTTTGGCTTAGTTTGTTCTTAATACTCTGATGTTTTAGAATTCTGTGGATTAAGTTACTTGAGCAAACTTCAAAGTAACTGTTTTTTCTGGTTATTGTTGTTACTGAGTTTTCTTTTGTTTTTGTCTATTTTTGTACTGTCATTGTGTCATTTGACTTGTCTCTTTCCCTTTCTCTCTCTCTTGTTTCACTTCAAATTTACATTTTTACTAAACCCCGTTTTCTAGGATTTCCAAAAGGTTCCATCTTTGAAAACCCAGAGCTTGTTTTTGTTGCTTCTTCATTGGTTACAGTTTACTCAACCCCATGTTCTAGGATTCACCAAAAATTCCTTCTTTGAAAGCCCAGAAGTGTTTTGGATTTGTGATTCTGGGTTTTGCTTGTTTTGTGAATTCTTGATTGGTTTATTAATGGGCCAGTCAAGGTTCATTGTTTTTTCCTTTGTGCTTTTCTTTTGCTGTACTTGTTTTTGTTCTTCTTTTGGAGATCAAAATTTGGATAAAATCACTGAGTTACCTGGACAGCCAAAGAATGTTGAATTTAATCAGTATTCAGGATATGTGACAGTAAATGAACAAGCTGGAAGGGCATTATTTTACTGGTTGATTGAGTCACCAGTGAGCCGTAGTCCTGAGACAAAACCACTTGTTTTGTGGCTTAATGGAGGACCTGGTTGCTCTTCTGTTGCTTATGGAGCAGCTGAAGAGATTGGTCCTTTTCATATTAGACCTGATGGAAAGACCCTTTACTTGAATCGTTATGCTTGGAACAACTGTAAGTCTTCTATGATCTATTATTTTTGTTGTTCTGCTATTTATGTCCTGTCTGAATTTCATTTAAGATTGTTTACTTTGAATTGTTGTTAGTGGCAAATATGCTATTCCTTGAATCTCCAGCTGGTGTTGGTTTTTCATACACAAACACGACATCAGATTTATACACTGCCGGTGACAGGAGAACTGGTAACTTATTTGTTTGTGTCTGGATAATTTGTATTGATGATTTAGTTGGTTCTGCCTAATGTTTTGCTTTAGCTTCTAGAATCTACAGAGTTGAGTTTGATATCTTTAAATGTTTTTGGGATCTGCGTGTTGTGTAATTGCAGCTGAAGATGCATATGCTTTCTTAGTTAATTGGTTTGAAAGGTTTCCACAGTACAAGCATAGAGATTTCTACATTGCTGGAGAAAGTTATGCAGGTGTGACTTCAATCGCGGTTTTGGGTGTTATATTTTACATGATTTGTAGTTGGAGCCTGGAGGTTAAATTACAGGACTATAATTTTGGTACATTACTTTCAGGTCATTATGTTCCTCAATTGTCTCAAATTGTTTATGAAAGAAACAAAGGGATTCAGAATCCTGTTATCAATTTCAAGGGATTTTTGGTGAGAATGTGTTATTGATGAGAAATTTTTTTATGATATGGTTGGAATTTCAATCATTAATCGTAATTAACTTTCATATTATGGGCAAATGCCTTCTATTTTGTTCTGTCATTATATTAGGTTGGAAATGCTGTTACTGATGACTACCATGATTTTGTTGGCACATTTGAGTACTGGTGGACTCATGGTTTGATATCTGATTCAACCTATAGAAGTCTGCGAGTTGCCTGTGACTTGGGATCCTCTACACATCCATCCTTGCAATGCATGAGTGCTCTCAGAGTTGCTCAAGTGGAACAAGGAAACATTGATCCATATAGCATCTTCACACAGCCTTGCAAGGATACTGCAACTCTCAAACGGAACATGAGGGGTCATTATGTAAGTTTTCATTCAACTCAATAATGGGGCTTTTCGGGTGATCTCAATTATAAATCTTTGCATCTTTCTAGCAATGTTGTTGACCTGTAACCGGATCTATTTGAAACTTATCTTCACATTCAGTCTTGTTTCTTCTAATTTCTTTAAGGAGTTTTTGTCACTAGTTTGAATGACACTTTGTCCTGGGAAGGATGAGTGTTGGACTGCAAGAAGCATATCTTTCCTGCCCATAAATACAGAGTCATCCAGTAATATGATCATAATAAAATGCAGTTAAGCTGAATTATGCGCATATAAAGCAGGTTATGTATGCTTCATGTGATCTTTATACATAATTTGTGATTCATTCTAGAAACAAACACATTTAAGTAGAATTTGTATCTTTCTGAAAATTATGAGAGCTTCCATATTATGACTGGTTTTCTAGTGAAACTTGACATTAAATCTGTGGGCTCATCTTAGATACTTAATACAGTTGTTGATTTTTAAGCCTAAAGCTGCAGAAGGGGGTGGTCCCTGAGTGACATTCGCTGTTCAATGATGTTACAACTTGGGAGCGTTGGTTCTTCTGTACTCACCTTCTACACTCAGCATTTCTTTCCTCCTCTTTTTCCCTTTCTCCTTAGCATGCTTGTGGCCCGCCTAATCAATACAAAACTTGTAGAGGGTTGTCAATATGCAACATTTAGTTGACTAAAGGTTCAATTGACAGTTGTGGACCATCTAGTTCTCTCCTGTTAAAGTTGGTGCACTCAATAAAGAGATAAAGATAAAAAAAGGCACATGTATTCACATTTACATATAATAGCCATGGGATGCAGTAAAAGGTGATTGGCAGTGGTGATGAGACAACTGCATATCTATTTATTTGGTTGTTGTACCTTCAAATATTTTAGTTACCAGTGCTGTTGTCTTCTATTAATTAGGTGCTTTTTGCTAAAACTTTGGGTACATTTCGACAAAACTTCAACTGAACTTGACATTCCAATATGATGTGTTTACCTAATCTTTTATGTATGTAGTATCAAAGGCATTCAATTTAGGTCCAAATAATTAATGCGGATATTTGAACTCCTTCAATTTTCATTAAACTTCTTTTTTTGTTTTGTTTTCCTCTGTGCTAAATTTTTGTCTTTCACAACTATCATCTACATTACTTTGGTATTTGGTATTTAATGGGATACAAATCTTTCCTAAGCTGATTTTTGACATGAATGCAAAAGCTGGATGAAAGTTGCTTTGAATCACTGTGTGAATATGATGTCCTCATGACATCCTTCGACAATGCTTAATCTCATCTTGTACTTACCAAACTGTTCGAGTGGAGTTCTTGTCCCTTTTTTCCTTTCCTGCTCCCCCAATTGACCTTGTCTTCTACCTAAATGCAGCCATGGATGTCAAGAGCTTATGATCCATGCACTGAGAGGTATTCTAAAGTGTACTTTAATCGCCCGGAAGTCCAGAAGGCTCTACATGCAAATGTAACTGGGATTTCCTATCCATGGCAAACATGCAGGTGGGTAATTGATTTGTATATTTTGGATAATTGCTTTTAAATATCTTTGAGTAGCATTGGTTTAAAAATTCTTTGTTCTACAGTGATCTTGTTGGAAACTACTGGGCAGATGCTCCTCTCTCTATGCTTCCTATATACAAAGAACTAATTGCTGCTGGTCTTAGGATATGGGTATACAGGTAAGTTTCTCTCTCTCTTTCCCCTTTGTCTCCACAAAAGGAATTTGTGTTTCGAGAAAAGTTGATATTTTTGTTGCAGAAGTAGTCAGTGAGACTTTTTCTGTCATTGGGAATTTATTTTAGCATAATTAAGAATTTTATGACTTGAAAATGTCAAAGAATCTACTTTTGCATCTTTTGTTTTCCTGTTATTGTTTTTTTGTCTGCCACCCTCTTTAAAATCTCATGGGGTGCTAACATAAGTACATAACTGAATTTGACAAAAGCCTTAGTGCAAACTTTACAGTTGCCAATCAAAGAGTTAATTATCCATGCTATGGTTAGGCTCCTTTGTAAATTTGCCACATCATGCACCTCAATTGGACTCTATTACTCTAGGATATAAGCCCACTGATGTTCCCACCTTTCTCTGTTTGACTAGTTGTTGGGGCATGCCTTTAAAGTAAACCTGCCTTCTGATATTGTGAGAGTTATGAGGCGGTTAGGCCCAAAGAAGGTCATGTTCTGTCCTGGAAATTGTTCAACCTTTCACATGTGGATGTAGGGTACCTTTGCTCAGGGTCCCTGGTCACAACTCTTAATAAAGTTCATTCTTTGATTTGTTTGTTGTACTTTTTAATGTTTAGATATCAGGTCTGGGTTCTTCTCTGTACCTTCCTTTGGTGGTTTGATTTTTTATGTTACTTTTTGACTTCATGATTGTAACTTGTATCTCAGATTTCAATTCTCTATAAGATCTGGAGGCTTAAGTTTTGATGGGTGTAACCCTTTAATATGAACTTGGAAAGTGGAAATGAAACTTACTGTCATTCTTCTGGTCTATTCTCCATGTAACAAAAGGAGGCAGTTGCTCTTATAATGTAACTTCTTTATTAAGTTAAGAAGTGAATTTCGTAGGTAATAAAGTTGGGAATTTTTTTTAGATAATGGTTTAATTAGAAATATATTGTGTTCTAGCACAAAGAATTGCTTCTGCTCCACACACATTCCCTGTTAGTCGAAGATACACTTATATAAAGTTGATGTTAATGCTAAATGTATGATAAACTTCGATTTCTGATGACAAAATCAATTGTCTTGAAGTGTTACTTTCTGAATTATTGGTAAGGGTTTCAAAGGCTTTAAGCGGCCGAGCCGAATTCGTTTTAGTGAAATGAGTTTCTAGTGGTGATGGCTTGAACTGCTTACTATATCCATCTAGGATTAGAGGCTGGTTATTATTTTTCTACAAGGGATTTTGCAGCCAAGTATTAATATTACATTTTTTTTTTTGGCAAAATGCATGTAAATATGATGTCTGATTGAAATCTTTCTCCAGTGGAGACACTGATGCAGTGGTTCCTGTGACTGCAACTCGATACTCCATTGATGCTCTGAAGCTACCTACTGTTACCAATTGGTACCCGTGGTATGACAATGGGAAGGTGAGTACTGATAATGTGATACAATTTTTTGGAACTTGTTTCTGTTGAGATAGATTACTTAAAGTTTTGATTTTGTGGATTAGTGGATACTATCAGATACAGCCATTGCATATTCTTCTGCTAAAGCTCAAAAATAGGTTAAAAAAAAACCAAGATTGTTGTAATCCTCTCTCAACATGACTGTACAATTGTGCTTTCCATTACCGGGCCTTCATAGATGCTTATCTCACCAGATTTCGTATTTCCTGATGCAGGTTGGTGGGTGGAGCCAAGCATACAAAGGGCTGACATTTGTAACAGTAACTGGAGCAGGTCACGAGGTTCCACTCCATCGTCCCCGTCAAGCTTTCATCCTTTTCAGATCATTTTTGGAGAACAAGCCAATGCCGAGTTAATACTCCTCTTAGTACTACTATTCATTTCCCTCGATGAATAGGCCGAATTTTTTTTAATAGAATCATTTGTACACAGGGCCATGAAAGAAGTCGAAAAAAGAGATTTACTCTTCTCGTGTGCCCCTCCATTCTTGCCTACTCTGTTCCTTTTCCTGGATGCGTCCAAGTAAAAAGGAAAATGCAGAGAGATTTGGAGTTTGAGTTTAGAATACAAACTTTGCCAAAATTGTAGAATATTTGTATGAATTCTATTCTTTATAAGACTTAAAATAATGAAACAGAAAATGTTGATCAAAACCAGTTGTGGTTGCCCTGTATGTTAGAACTGTAATTTTCTTGGAATGAGATATATTCTTTATATAATTAATAAAAATGGTCATGCTCTTGGCTTTTATCACCAAAAAGGTCATCAAACTCTTCTACCCTTTGATCCTTTTTGTGGGTAGTTTGGCAGTTCTGTTGTTGTTGTTGCTGAACAAACCAAACCAAAAACCCTGTTGGGTTGATGTCCTGATGAGACATATTAAAGTATAGGTTTGGTAGGGAAGTTGATATTCATATAGGTTTCAGGTTCAATCTCCCCTTTCCCAAACTTTGAGAATCCAAGTTCTTGTTTGAGGTCAATCAATGCCTGGTTTTCTTTTTCTTGGATGCCTTTTGTATTTTAATTGAAAGTCAAGTAGTTTGTTATTTTAGGAAATATGTGTTTCTCAAGAACTATTTTTTTTCCCCTTTGAAAGGTTCCAAGAACTAATTTTTAATTTGTATAATTTGTAGTTGGAGTTGAAGGGTTGGTCTAATTTTTATTTAAAATGGTTAGGATTTAAAAGTGAAATTCATAGAATTTCTTTTTGAAAATAATCAAATAAGTTTTTTTTTCTTAAGCTGCGAAAAGAAATAGGTTTGGACTTATATTTTTAATTCATAAAACATACTTATCAAATAAAGAAAAAAATTTTATTTATGAGTTTAAGATTATCTCATTTTATATTAGTATGGGTTTCGTAATATTCTACCTCATTGACATATAAAAAAATTCTATTTTATTATAAAATGCTTGTTGTATTGACTCTTGACTTGCATAAAAAAGACACCCACTTCAATTTAAATTTATCTTGAATTTATATCTGTTACGAAAATTTCTCATCAATGAAAAATTAAATAAATTTTAATACCATTTGTACTGAATAATTTTTTGATTAAAAATTACACTGAACATTTAATTTAATTTAATATATATATCATATGAAAATTTTATTTTAAAAAAATAAAAAAAAAACCTTGATTCCGTGGGCAACAAGTACCCGACATATGAGGCGTTCGATGGGGCGGGAGAGCGGATCCTAATCGTCTGATCCAAAAAATTGTACTTTATTGGTAGGCTGAAAAAAAGAGAGGAGAAAATCACGAGGTCCAAAAATTTATAATAAATCCAACGGTGGAGTTTCTCTGGTTTGAACGGTAGATATTAAGACCACATGGACCCAATTAGAATCGTGATCTGCTTATTTAGAAACTGCATCGTCGCCATCAACAAAAAGTCAAACAAACTTTTGTCAAACCAACAGGCGGCAGATCTTGAATCTTAGATACAGGTCAATTTGATCTTCTCGTCTTTACAATTTTTACACGCAATTAATTTCTTTTTATTTATTTTATTTTAAAAAATTGGAACATTTTAAAGTGTAGACACATCGTGGCCGGAATAAGGCCTAAAGGATTTATTTATTTATTTGCTTAAGGAGAAATTTATGCTGTTCATTTTATATTTCAAAGTATTGCGTAGTCATCATGTTTAATTAATTTCATAAAATATCAATATAATTCATTTATATATATAACAATATCTAATACAACCCATATCAATTATAAACTAAAATTTCAATCCCTGAAATATAATTTTTTTATCTAAATCTTATATATTTTATAAAGGAATCATCTTAATTTAATAAAAATGTAATTAATACTCATCAACAATATCTTTATATATTCTACCTTGAACTAGAAGCAAAACTCAATTTTATAGTTTTAATATCAAACTTGTCAAAGTTGAATTTGTTGTTGTACAATTTTTATTTATTTTTGTATTTGGGTTAATTTTTGTGTTTTAGATTTTATATTAGTAAGAGATAAGACGAATTTCGAGTTTATAAATAACGGTTTTCTTCCATTCTATAAATATATCTTTTGAAATAAAAATACGAGTTCATGATATTTATTCATGGTATATCATTGTTGAATAATTACTGTGTTGCTTTTCAATCACTTTCTCATTGTAAGAGCTAACCATAACCATAACCATCAAACTAGTAGAAATCATAGATCTTTTGGGTGTTGAAATGGTTCAACAAAATGTGAAAAAGACTATCAAGGAGACATGTGTGTGGTTCAACAAAAGGAAAGTAGATAAATATATTATATATTGCATAAAAAGAGGCCAAGACACTAAGATTAATGGACTTATTTGGGATGGTGATCCAATACATTAAAATAATTGCCATATAAAAGTTCCCCATGCACGTTTGAACAACTAATTTTGACTCCCAAAACACTTAGACAAAAAGGAAAATCAAAGCTTCAACTAGTTTAATCTAAAAGTCAATGAAAACAAGTGTAACAAACCAATTGAGACACTTAATTTAAGAGTCCCAAATTCCAAAGTCTAGACCTCACATTCCCAAAGCATTTTGTTGCTGAATGATGAGAGATCATTACATCAACAATTCTTCTTCTTCTTCTTTGCTCCATGTTTTGGTCATTGGTACCCTTCTTCTTCTATCCACAGTTTCTTCGGCCTCGGCCGCCGGTGGTAATTGCCGGAAAGAGCAGGAGAGAGATAGAATAGTCAAGCTACCAGGGCAGCCACCAAAGGTCAACTTCTCTCAATACTCTGGCTACATAACTGTTGACCCAAAGGCGGGCCGAGCCCTGTTCTATTGGTTGTTCAAGGCCCCTTTTAAGAGTCAGCCTGCATCTAAGCCGTTGGTTTTGTGGCTCAATGGTGGGCCTGGCTGTTCATCTGTGGCTTATGGGGCCTCCGAGGAAGTGGGTCCCTTTCGTGTGCGATCCGATGGGAAAACTCTTCGTCTGAATCCCTACGCTTGGAATCAAGGTACACAACACAACGTAATTCAAAGTCGTAACATATGTTATTGCAGTTCTTATGTTTATATACTCTTAATGTCAACTTACGTTATTTTTTGCAGAGGCGAATTTGCTCTTCCTTGATTCACCGGCCGGCGTCGGATTCTCCTATTCGAATACTTCGTCCGACATATACACGGTTGGTGACAAGAGGACAGGTATAACATAATTATACGTTAAAATGACCAAGGCATGCAGCTAGCCAGAGTCATGCAATAACACTAAATTGTCAAAGATTTAGTTAGCCTAACCCTAACTAATTCTTTAATTGTTACAGCTGAAGATGCTTACACATTTCTCATCAAATGGTTAGAGAGGTTCCCTAATTACAAGCACAGGCCTTTCTACATTGCTGGAGAAAGCTATGCAGGTTCTTCCACCAATCCCCATTTTGAGTTAATTAATCTTGCATTAATCTGTTAATTAATACCTAATAAACTTTGGGTTACTCTTTGATCTTGTTAACTTTCAGGTCATTACATTCCTGAGCTATCCCAACTCATCGTCCGCCGCAACAAAGGAGTCAAGAATCCCATCCTTAACTTCAAAGGTTTTCTGGTAAGTCAATATTATGGATATGGCAACCTTAGACTTACCCCATGAACAATTTTAATTGGTTTATTAGTTATTACTATGATCATCTTTAATTTAGTAATTTTTTAATTTTTTAATACATTCTTGTTTATTTTATAATTTGATTATGAATTTGGACCAGTTGGGAAATCCGCTCCTCGATGATTATTACGACAATATGGGGACTCATGAGTACTGGTGGAACCATGGTTTGGTATCTGATTCTACGTACAATGACCTGAAAAAGTCATGTCTAAATGACACCTTCTTATTCCCAAGAGATGGATGCAACAGTGCTCTAAATCGTGCCTATGGGGAAATTGGAGACATCAATCTTTACAACATCTACAGCCCTCCTTGCAGTGGGATTGCCACTCTTAAGCATAATCTAGGTCAAATACCATTGGTAAAGCTCTTTTTCTATTCTCACTTTCATGTTCATGTCCATGTCCATGTGAATTTCACATGGACCGTACTTCATTTCTTAGTTATTAATTAGAACGTGCATGCTATGAATTAATAATCTCCAGAGGAACATGATGGCAAATAGTTGCCTTATTCTTACTAAGATGACCAAAAGGTCTCATGTATTTCAGCCATGGAGATTCAGAGGTAATGATGAATGCGTAGTAATGTATACGAAAAGATACATGAATAATCGAAGGGTGCAGAAGGCTCTTCATGCAAATCTTACTCACCTTCATTATCCTTGGGCTACTTGCAGGTTTATTTCATCTTCATTTATAATTTTTTTCCTCTCAATTTCTTCAACTTATCTTCCCCAGTTGACTAAGGAGGCTAAGCTAGATTTTTCTTTGGCATATATATGTATTCGCAGTTCTATCGTTAGGGGAAACTGGACTGATTCTCCAAAATCCATGCTTCCTATCATCAAAGAACTTATTGCAGCTGGCATTAGAATCTGGATATTCAGGTAATGTTCCTTCTTATAATTCCTTGTGTTAATTAAGTTTATCAAAGGAAAACCAATGGCTGGAGTGTAATCACAGATATTACATATGTTTTTGAACAGTGGAGATACAGATGCTGTTTTGCCTCTGACTGCAACCAGATATTCCATTAAAGCACTCAAGCTGCAGACCAACATCAGCTGGTATGCTTGGATTGATGATCAAGCAGAGGTACTTAGCCATTTTTCTTTTCCCCCTTGGAATAATAAAAGGAAAAAAAAACATAGCATTCTACAATAATTAACTTTTAACAAGTTTTGCTAATGAAAATGGATTTGGGTGAAATATCATGATCAGGTTGGTGGGTGGACAGAAGTATACAATGGTCTAACCTATGTGACAGTGAGGGGTGCAGGGCATGAAGTTCCTTTGACACAGCCTCAACGTGCCTTGGTACTGTTTAGGCACTTCCTGAGGAATCTGCGCCTACCGGCTTCTCTTTCCGATTAGCTAGGATTAATTTGTTGTTATAATCCTGCTGATCATCAGAGATTTATTTACATATAGCTAGCATTAACAGAAAATTACAGCAAAAAAAACAGGAAAGAAAAAGAATTCTGGGGGTTAATTAATTATAGTGATTTAATTGTTGTATTACAAATTAGATTATTT